TGTAAAATCATATAATCTTACAAAATATTTTTTTGAATAAATACTTTTTTTTAACTCTTATTAAAGAATGCATAAAAAATAATATTATTTAAAAAAACCCTTGCTTTGTGTACTGCGTTAAGCTAACTGAAACTTGCTATAGCACTTATATATCATTGCTCTTTTGTTGATTTTGATTGCTTCCATTGTTCTCATTTGTAAGTCGCTTTGTATAAAAGTGTCTGCTAAATTACTAAATGTAAATGTGTATATATATATATAGCAGTTAGATCTCCTCTGCATGTTAAAGTCAAAATTCCCATCAAGTTTTGTCTGTGATCACTAATATGTTTTCTACTTGATTTATTTTAGCAGCAGCCTCACAAAAACTCTCAAGCATGTGTACACCCAGTATGGTGTCAAGAAAGGACTGTATCGTGGCCTGTCCCTCAACTACATCCGCTGTATACCGTCACAAGCTGTTGACTTCACTACTTACGAGTTCATGAAGCAAATTCTTCACCTAAACTAGAACAATCAGTGACTAAGCCTTAAAGGAACGTGTTGAAACGACCCGCGGCGACATCACAGCAGTCCTGTCTGCCATTCCAGAGACCAGTCATCTGAAATCCAGTTCTTACTAAACACCCACACAAACGGCAAACCTGTGGCTTTGCACAGCCCAGCAACAATCACTATGGATACAGAGACAAAAGCTTGCTTTTCCGTTCTGTGTGGATCAGAAACAACGACACTGGAAATCCCATGGAAACCTGCGTCTGAAACTTGCTTGTGAGAAGCCGTCCCATTTCAGATCGAACAATATGCCTTAATCTTTCACTCATATAAGCAAAACACAACATCTCAGTCGATTTGACTTATGTGGACAGTTTCTCTAGGTATATCACAGTGCTTTTAACTATGACTGATGACGTGATTTTTAAGTCAAATATGGAAGTTGATTTTTCTTTGCTAAATTTAATTCATATGTTGCTTTATATTTCAGCAAATCCGAGTCACCTCAAGTCTTATTGACTGATATTTGTCTCTTTTTGTGATAAAGATGACTTTCCTCTGCAATTCAATAATACAGTGAATGAAAGAGAGTGTACATAATGTCTATGCAGTATTCAGTCATGTTCGCATGCCGATGTTACTGTGGCTCAAGTTTAATATCTGATTGATGCCTTACAGTGCAGGTTAATTCACAATCTCCCTTTTGGAAGAAAGCAATCAAATGAGAATGTGTGGTGATTAATATCACAGCTGATATGTACAGTGGGGAAAAAAAGTATTTAGTCAGCCACCAATT